CAAAATCCTCTTTCCTTTGTGGCAACTGAAACTTTCTTTGACTCTCAGGCACTTGGGAGGGTGCCTTTGTTTGAACACAATGCCACTTGTCCCCGAGGAGGCCTGTCTGATTGATGGGCTGAAAGAAAGCAACTTGAGATGTTTGAACATGGTCCACAAATAAGATTGTTCTCTCATGTTTTTATCCATTCTTAATGCACAGAATGGCATGTCTAGGAGAAGCAGCAAGATTTTTGTTTTTCAATAAACAGGCCAAGCAAAACAATCCTCTTTCCTCAGCACTAACTTATTATATGCTCTTCAAAAACAGAATTAGCCACCCAACCAAAGCTTAACAATATACATTACAGTATTATAAATAACTTTTAATTAAAAATGTGAATTTAAATACTAGTCTTATCGTTCAATATTTGTTCAGCTTTCATTATGAGTGTGGCAGGTCACAGGCTTAGCATGTGTTTTTCACTATCTACTTCTAGAAAAATTAAATTAAATTTAAACTGTTGTTTCATTTAATTTAAGACCACTCAGATCGTAGTGGGACCCTATATTCATAAGTCTTGCAGTTCACTGAGGAACAGGAGAGCGATTTTACAAATAAACTACTAGTTCCAAAAAACCTCCCAAATATTCTTTGTAGGAGCGGAAGGAAAGGTGGATTAGGGTCAGGTAGGGGGGGGTCATAAGGTGTGTGGGTAAGAAGCCTTAACTGAGATAGGATTTCTGCTGTAAAAAAGAATGTTAGTGATTCTCTGGCAGAATATAAATGTTCCTAACTTTTTAAAAAAAATTAAATTACTGTTCTCTAAAAATGAAGACTCCACAAATAAATGCTCAGGCATGTATTTCTGGTGATATTAGGCAGGACGCTAGGACCATTCTCAAGAGAACTGTAATACTATTTATAACCCGAACTGTGACTAAACCAAAGGAACTTTGGAAACAGAGTTCCTCAAGTTCCCACTGTGTTCTCGGACACAGTTGCTTGGACACATGTGCTATTAGCTGTCCTCCCTTTTAGTAACAGCGCTTCCTTCCTGCAGATCCACTGAAACAATACTCCATAAAAAAGGATTTACATGAAAGACAGCTGGAGCCGGTTGCCAGGGGAACTGACAATGTTCCAGACACATTCCACATTAGAGGGATAAACTTCAGGGTAGCCAGGGCTGTCGAAGGTGCCTTCAGCCATGTGGAAGTCCCCACCACAAGCTGGAAGAAAGGAGAAAACAGTGAGTGCCAGGGCAAAGGTCAAATACAAGGCACACTAGATAAAGGAGGAGGAGCACCAGGGGAGCTGTTAACAGCATCTATTTCACACACAAAAAATCCAGGTCATATAAAATAAGAAAAAAATTCTGAAAACTAAAAGCCACGAGGTGCATCCTTTGCTCGCAGCCTTCTCTCCCTGTGTACCATAACTTTGTGCAAAAAAAGACTTGTTTTAATCCTACTACCATGCAGTATTTCTAACCAGGATGATTTTCAAGCCTGGCCTACAGTGGGGGCAGTGCTCCGCCGTTTCCCCCTCACACACAAATCTCCTGAGTTGGAAGGCTTTTAAATGCCAATAACAAGGCGCTGGCAGCTGACAAACAGCACTGACTAAGGGGCCCAGGACTAGTGGCTCCGCCTTTCTCTCATTCCCATGTGCCACCAACCATCAAGCTAGCAGTGACAGCAGGCAGACCCTGCCTGAGCCCAACCTCAAGGCCAGGGAGACAGGAGAACAGCGGCTGTCCGGCTGTCCGTTCTTAAGAGATGCCCGCAGACACTGCTAATTACAGCTGCCTTAACCAACTTGTCACGGAGGAGAACGCCAACACACTGACAAAACAAGCCATCCAAGATCATTCCAGCCAATTCTCCTCACTCCCAGACTTCCCTTTCTAAAAGCATTATTCCCAGTAGCCAAGGTGTGCACACACCCTACGTGTCCACAGGTGGGCGAATGGATAAAGTTGTGGAACCGAGTTCACTGCTGCCGGAATTGACAAGCGTGCTAACCAAATTTGGAAGATGTAAGGTTAGACACAGGAAACTAGCTTCCAGCTGTAAAGGTAAAGGAGTCCCACCTAACAAACCTAGGAATTCAACCACCTTCTTGTTAACCCAGTAGCGCCACTTGATGTGTCTTACCTGATGATGATGCGGCATATGTAGCATGGAAACCACCAAAACTCACGCTGGAGTCAGAGATGAACCTCACTGTCAGAGCATTGCTGAAGGAAGTAATGGGATGGGGCATGGAGGTGCCGCAATATCTGCCTAAATAATGACGAGGAGAATGAGTGATAACAGGGCATAGGCCATTATTTCTAGCAAAGAGATTTACTAGAATTACAAGAAACCAAAGCAAACAGAGGCAATCACTATTAGGAGAACCATCTAAGGCAGGTCAGTGTTTGGAACAATGCCTGAGAATTAAAAATAAACTACAAATAGAAACATAGGAGAGATGATTTATAAACATGATAAAGAACATTCGGGGAAGATGAGAACAATGTAGATGGCCTGGCTCCAAATGTAACTAATGTTAAGATCTCCAGCACAGTAATAAATGCACAAATAAATGCACCAGTGCTTAAAAGCAAAATATTATAGCCAAGAAAAGTGTGAATGCTAGAACCAGAATGGCTGGATTTGACTCTGAGCTCTACCATTTACTAGTCACGTGACCTGGGCAAGTTAAGTTCTCTGTGCCTCAGTTTCCCCACTTGAGCAAAGAGAATATCAATAAATAATGAAACCTCTATCATAAAGGTATGAGGATTAATTGAGGTACTATTTACTAAGTTCTCAAAATAGTACTCAGCACAAGGTGAGTTCTAGATGTGTTTGTTAAATAATATACCCTCATTCTTGGTCAAATGCTTAGAGATAAAAAGCATTACAATCAGAAGTGGGTGCAGAGCAGAGCGTATTCACTGATTGCCTGCTATTGTCTCAGGCACTGTTCTGGGCACTGGGAATTCAGCTCAACAAAATCCGTTTCTGAGGGCGCTCATCTTCTACTTTACCAGGAGATGCTCAAATATAAGTAACTCATAGAAAACATTTAAATAACTTGAGATTATTTTTTAGGACATTTTAGAACCTAGATAGCTGCAATATTTAGCCTTACTGGGTTGTCTTACAAACCCAATCTAGATTACTTATTTACTTATAATTATTTTCTTTTTGCTTCCACTGAGGACAAAACCAAAAAATAAAAACACATGCTTAATTTGAATATAAGAACTGTGGTTAAATATTAAGAAATTTCTCGCCGAAACCGGTTTGGCTCAGTGGATAGAGCGTCAGCCTGCGGACTGAAAGGTCCCAGGTTCGATTCTGGTCAAGGGCATGTACCTGGGTTGCGGGCACATCCCCAGTGGGAGATGTGCAGGGGGCAGCTGATCAATGTCTCTCTCTCATCGATGTTTCTAACTCTCTGTCTCTCTCCCTTCCTCTCTGTAAAAAATCAATAAAATATATTTTTTAAAAAAAAGAAATTTCTCACAGAATGCTATTTAATGCTGGGGTAGAATGCATTTCACTACTATCTAAGTGTTTGCAACTTTTACATTTAAAAAATGCATAAACTGTTCATGTCCTTGAATATGACAAGCTGAGTTTCTTGAACCCCACACTGAATTCCAGTTTCTTATTCCCTAATTATCTTTACTTGGCTTATGCTGCTCTTCATGTTTATTGGAAACATTCTGACCTTGAATGACAGCACACAGATATGCCAGAATATAAATAAAACCCAGCCAAGGCCACAGACAGAAACGAGAGCACTCCAGGCGCGGTACCTCGGAGGGGCGCGTCATCATAGTTGCCATCCAAAATTTCTAAAAAGTCTTGTGTGCATGTTGTGCTGCTTTCAAGTCCAAAGTGAGTAAAGGAGAGGGTGATATGATTGACTGTAAGAAAAAGCGAAGTCTATTTAGTAGCGTAGCAGTGAACAAAACATACCGGGCGGGAAATTTTACCTCTCAGGATTCATGCGTGGGTTCTCCAGCGGGAGGCACTGAAATGGGCAGATCTGCCCAGGGGCTGAGGGGATGAAGAGGGAAAGTGACAAGTTCTCTGCTGACAGGTTTCCTTTGAAGAGCATCAATCCATGATGTTGAAAACACCTAGAGAATCTGAAATGCCAGTAAGGAAGAGGACTCCTGGGTAGGGGTCCTCCGTGCACTATGGGGAACAGCTTGTTGGAAAATGTAGCCTTTACACATTTTTGTATCAGCCCTCGCTATGTTCTTCTCCTCAGTACTTTTCTCAGTAGAATTGGTCCTTAAGTCCTGGTTCTTTACGTGCGGTTGTAAATAAGACACATTCTTCCTGGCAGCATATCCTACCTAGCACTGTCCGCTTCGCCGTAAGGCCAGGGCCCTATGGTTCAGTCATTTAAAAAGAAAGCTTTGAATTACTTGCAGAACAGCAAGTGCCCGGGTATGTTTTCCTTTTGTCATTATTCCAGGGTCCCTGTCTTCGGAATAGGATCTTCCCCTGATGCTGGCTTTGAACCAGTGAGATCTCATCTAAATGCATGACAGCTCATCATACAGTATCCTGAGGCGCAGAACCGCTGGCTCAGGCAGGGGGCCTCTTTACCTAAGGCCCAGTTTCCGGGGGGCTGGCAGCTTGCTTTGGGGCTCCAGGCTCCAGGCAGCACATGGCTAAGGATGACATCACCAACCACCAAAGCCTGTGCACTTCAGGAAAGATATCCGTTTGTTAACTCTTGACTTCTGGGAAATGTGTTAGAGAATAGTGAAGCCAAACTCTTCATTTTTTTAGATTAGCTAATGGGGCCTCATTAGCTTAAGTGACTTCCCTGTTATCACCCAGGTCATTAATTGTAGAGTGGAGTTGAGAGCTTAATGCCTTTCTCGCATTATGACTGAAATCATAAATTTTTCCTGAAAACCTCAAGGAATGGTAGAACTCATCTAAAACATGATTCATAATGGCCCAGGGTCACCCGCTCTCAGGTCACTGTTTGAGTCCTGAAGGGTCTCCCCATTCTCTTCGTCTGTAATATGTGATAAGGTTTTACCAGATTGTTACCAGCTCAGAAAATAAGACTTCAGGATTCCAAAAATGAAATAATGTAAGTACTCATTAAGTGTTTCTTCCAGGCCTATGCTAGAATTTTCTTTTTTAATACAAGCACTGCAGGAGAGACCAGGTTTTATAATTAACTTCCACTTTGATTAAATAGCAATATGCTCATGGCATTGTATTAATTTCCCAGTTTATGGTTCATATTTATTTATCCATTTGGCAACTGTTTTTGTGCATCTGCTACACTTAATGCATAAGTGTCAAAAACTATTTACTTATTTATCCATTAGTTTTGCTTACCCCCAATCTCACATGCCTATCAATACAGTAAGGTTAGGGTGTTTCTTTTTCTTTGCTAAGCTCTGAAACTTAAAAAAAAATTTAAATTAAGAATAAAATGTAAAATAACTTTTCTATCAAATTAGGAAATGTTTGTTCTTGTGCAGAGCAGGAATTGGGGCTTCAAAAAAAAAAAAAGAGGAAGGCCATCAATTGTTATCTCGGAAGAGATAAGAACATTAGTCATGGACGGACTTTCCCACAGACACCATCCACCCTGCATTCCTTTCCTTCTTTGTTTTTGTTACTTACATGGGGGTTGAGCTTGAATTATCCAGCTGCAGTTCTGATTGTCTGGGTACTTGGCAGGGAACAATGGAGAGGATATTGTATCAAAGGAGTCGGTGAGGATGTAGCCTCCACAGACTGAGGACACACAAACACACACACAGTCATGTACTCTGGATGTCCACTGGCTATGCACAACAATTATTTGATGAATGAAAACATAATTGATTTTTCCTCATTTCCGAAATTCAGGCCAAGGAAGTAATCTGCCGAGGAAGCTGCACACAAGCCATGAGAAAATGGCTTTTCACTGTACATTTATAAGCATTTCCTTCAATTGCAGGAAGTGGGGAGCCACACAGAACAGCAGATTAAATGGCTATGAATTGAATGAATCACTCAAAAAAACTCTGGCATTGATTCACTTGCTCTGCCTACTCATAATTATAGGTATAGAAATAATCGTTTTATGGACACCTTTTTTTCTAGGAAAATCAATATGCAATTGAACAAGACTTCACAAGAATGGCTGTGGATTATCAGAGCAGTGCAAACCTCTATGGGAATGCGGAGAGGGAGAGGCTGCTGCCCGTGAGAGTGGGAGAGGAGTGTCACGGGGAGATAGTGGCCGGAGGAGGAATTGGGGGTGAGAAAGGGTAGTTCTGGGGGAGGGCAGCCTGAACACAGAGGACAGTAAGGACGGCATCTACACAGACTCACTCCAAGTGTGGGGCCCTGGGGGGAGTTGGAAGTGGCACCGAATAAAAGATCAGAGCAGGTTCCCGGGCTCTTGGGTACCATCTGAAGGATCTCGGGCTCCATTCCCTAGGGCCTAGCAGTGCAGCCGGACAGATATTGTCACTTTCAAGGGCACGATCAGAACGAGGTTTTGAGAGTTCACCTTGAAGGAGGATGGAGAAAGGATGGTGAGATTGAGGAGGCTGATCTAATAGTCCAAGAGAAGATCCACTGGGGACTTTTTTTTTTCACTCCGAAGCAAAGCAAAGTGATTAATTAAATGGGGAAAATGTATTTAGAAATTGTTCTTTTTTTGGAAACACAGAGAATGGTTGATTTACTCAGCCTGTCTTGCTCCAAAGTGTACAGTGTATCTTTGGGAGACCTCGATCCAGAACCTCTCTAGCCAGGGCTCTCTACTTTAGAATGCAAGCAAGCGCACTGAAACAGACAAGTGGCCAAGCAGACTAAACTTATTTGAAATGACAAAGGTCATCTGAATAAAATCAGAGGCCTGCAGAAGCCAACTCACAACCCCCCTTCTTGTTCTGGGTTCCCTCTCTGAGGGTGGGGTAAAGGATTGATCTCTAAGAATTACTAGATTAAAGGCAATGAATAAAAAGGTCAGAAGAACTGGAAAGTGGTGATTTAAGAACAAAAACAATGGAAAACAACACTGGCAGGTGGACAGTGGCAAGATTCAAGGGTTAAAATATGACTCTACATTACAAGCAAGTTTACTAGTGGCCCAGTATATTCAATCCATACACACGGGGGCGGGGATATGTGTCCCTCAGCCCGGCCTGCACCCTTTCACAATCCAGGACCGCTGGCTCCTAACCACTCGCCTGCCTGCCTGATTGCCCCCTAACTGCTCCCCTGCCAGCCTGATGGCCCTCCCCTGCCACAACCTGCCTCTTTCGCCAGGACCCACCTCCTCTGCACAAGGCAACGGAGACATCGGGACCGGCCTCCTCTGTGCTTCACAGAGCCGCGGAACCCCCAGGCCTCACCGCGCAGAGTGGCCACCAGGCCCTGCCTCCGCTGTGCGTGTGGCCATCTTGTGGCGGCCATCTTATGCCAATGTCATATGCAAGGGCAGGAGGACCACCTAGGCTTTTATTAGTATAGAGAATTTATAGTGGTTTATCTCCTTTGGATATACAACCTTGTATAAATGTTACGTAATTTATCTATGGACAAAAGAATTTGGATAGACACTTAGAAATCATATCTCTAGTATTAAAGCTGCTTGTAGGTATTATTCTGAAAACTTGTCGGAGAGTTCCAGAGATCCAAAGGAAGATGGCGCCAAGCTAGACAATGGTAAATTGAAAGGATCAATTAATGGAATAATTGCAAATCATAGTTCCTTGGTTCTATTTAAGTTGTTGCATATGCAGTAGAAAGCCAGGACCAATTTCTAAGGATTGGTTTCATTTTATTGTAGCACCGAGAGGCACTTAAGGAGAGATGGCTGGTGCCTCAGAGAGACCCACCCTGTACCTACCTTGCCTGAAGTGAGCTTGGAAGCCCCTGCTCTGTCTAGAAGGGCCAGACTGAAATCTCACAAAGAGGCTATTTCCTGAAGAGGTGATGGGGTTAGTCAGCTGCTGTCTTCCACAAGCACGGGCAAGGCGGGTAGTTGCGGAGCTTAAACCATCGTATGCCTACAAAGAAAGACAATGGGAAAATAATAGTTCAGAACTTCATACTTTCAGCTAAAAGGCCTATGTTCTGTGGACTCTCTGCAGATTAGTGAGATGGTAGAAAACAAAACATTTGCCAGATCAAATGCTTTACTCTGTTGTCGTGTGACACAGTTTCATGGGAATGTCTGAGTCTTCGGCCGTTCCTAGGGACATGCTAGTGATTTCAGTAGGAGAGTCTCTGCCAGAAGCACTATTAGATCCCCGGATGTCTTCATAAACACCATCGCTCTCACAACCCTCCTTCCTCCTCTAACCCCAAGGTAGCCACATCATAGGTCATACCCACAACATGTACTGAAAATGTTTGATGCAAGAATGAATTCAAGAGCAACTGATGAAAAGCAATGATGAGTCACCATTAGTTTTCAGAAACCCAACATTTGCTAGCACTTTTTGTTCTTCAGACGGTCATGGTTAAGAAGGAAGAGAAATGACAGAGTTCATCCAAATGATATAGTGATGTGAGTTTAATTTAGAAAATTATCTCAAAAATTAAGAAAATATATTGGGCTCTGTGCCCACTCAGTACTATGCTGGAACTAGGTGACCTCCCATACTTATCAATGGAATAGAGTTTTCATTACATGCACTCAAAATTGCTGTATTGGTTTGTGAAATTGAAGTTGGCTCATTTCCTTGGAACTCTGTGTGAAATTTTAATGCTCTTATGTGTAAACCAGTGGTAAATGAGTCTTTTTTCTTTGAGTGACAATAATAATAGCAACTATTCATTAAGTGCTTACTATGTGCCAGGAACTGGACTCAGCCCTTTACGTACATTTATCCCATTTTCTCCTCCCAAGAATCCCTCCATCTGATGCACAAAGAGCCCAAATAATGTGGCCAAGTCACATGTTCCTGTGAGGGAGCAGGTCATGTGGAAACAAACAGCTAAATTCTAGAGCACAGAACTGAAACTCTCATTTTATCAAATGCAAGATACCAACTGAGTGGAATAGATGCATTAACTGGCCAACTGTCAGAGTGGAATTAAAATATGAAATTAAAGTTCTGATGTTTCACTCAAAAAATGTCATTTATATATAATAAGAAAATCTTAGGAAAAATTTTAACGTTCATGGATTTAACCACTTCCCCAACAATTTTTTTGTTAAAAACGTTTCTTTTTCAGACTAATTTTTTTATTTTGGTTCTATATAGTATTTTTGATGCTGGTTATGAAAACAGTTTGTAATTATTTTTTCTTCCCATTTTTGTGGTTAAGAATAGTATTTCCTCAGAAAGTTTCTAGATGAAATTATTTAGAATGGTACGTATGTAGCTGGTTTTTGAAGGTAAAGTTTTAGACGAGTATACTCGTTGACGACTGAAAAAAGAACATTTTGTGAAAACGTGTATACACGTTTCTGCCGGGGAAGGGGTTAATACAAGGAAGGGATACATCAATAACTAAATATCTAGTCATGATTAAAATCAATCTTCTTTTTAGAGCATGAATATAATTAGGAGGCTATTCTCAGTTGAATTTATACAAGTATGTGAATCAAACATTTATAGAGTTTGTAACTTTCTCACAAGGGGGGCTAAAGATTTTACAATAATGAATTTTAAATAAATGTGATTCTGATGCAGAAATTATTTTATTTTTTTAAATTAATGGTCAAATTTTAGATCTATATATCCCACAAATAAACATTAAAACTGATTTTTATTCATTTAAAGATAGATTAAACTCTAGATTACATCTTCTTTTCTTTTTTAAAATATATTTTTATTGATATCAGAGAGAAGGGAGAGGGAGAGAGAGATACATCAATGATGAGAGTGAATCATTGATTGGCTGCCTCTTGTATGCCCCCTATGGGGGGTTGAGCCCTCAACACAGGCATGTGCCCTGACCTGAAATCAAACCATGACCACCTGGTTCATAGGTCGATGCTCAACCACTGAGCCACACCAGCCGAGCTTACATTTTCTTAACCAATTCAAAATATACTTTCTAATCTAGTCTGATTGCTTTTTTATTTTATTTTTTAACAGTTTGGACACCTTAAAAAATAGTCAAAATAATGTATAAAGCATATTACAGAACTTCTTAGGACATTTACACTTAACCCTACTTTCCAATATTATCATCATTGGTTTAATTAAAGACTTTATTATTTCTATACTTGGTTTTCTACTTTTCTAAGGTGATAACTATAATGACCTAGGATTTCAGTAATGTTATATTAATACTTGCTCTAGAGACTACCTTCTAGAATGTCCAGGGTTACAGGGTCTGGGAAAGAATACCAATTGATTCTTGGTCATGCCTACTTGCTTCTCTTAAGGTGATTTGTTTCTTTGTTCATATAGAACATTTCTTAAATTCTAGTGGAACACTAGGGTTCTATGAAGTTTATAGACATACCCAAGTAACAACAACACACAATTCAGGGTATTTTTACAAATCCACGAACTTACAAAAGCAAGATTCTTCTAGTCTCCTTTATTCCTCCCTAAAGTCAGAGCTCTAGTGAGTGAATGGATATTGTTCCTAAACTCTCTTTTTTTTTCTCTGAATGATCGCAATCCTCTTAAGGAAAAAAAAAAAAGAGTAATGTAGAAAGTCAAAGCTGGAAACTTCAGGAAGTCACATGAAGGAGGCAGTGCCTGCAATCCTTTGAGAGGGCACATCTTCCAGGGGGTCTCCATGTTTTCCAGCCCCCCCCCCACCCCAACCTCAGAGACCTTGGATTTGCAGGAATTCATATGGCAGAAGCATTGCTTCACAAGGAATGGATCCAAAGTTGAAGGATCCCAAATTTCCCCAAATCAAAAGTATATACCAATGGCACCCTAAACATGATTCACACTGTAGAACTTTCACATTCTAACTTAGTCCTCAATACCATGTGATTCTTAAAAAATGATTAAAGTGAGACTTAACAAGTGTGCTAACTATTAAGTACTGTCTTATTCAATGGGAACTAGTGACAATGGAAGTTCGTGACAATGGGAGCTTGTGACAATGGGAACTAGTGACAATAGAAGCTCATGACAATGGGAGCTGGTGCAATGGAGGCTAGTGACAATGGGAGCTCATGACAATGGGAGCTCGTGACAATGGGAGCTAGGGACAATGGGAGCTAGGGACAATGGAAGCTGGTGCAATGGAGGCTGGTGACAATGGGAGCTCGTGACAATGGGAGCTCGTGACAATGGGAGCTGGTGCAATGGGAGCTTATGACAATGGGAGCTCGTGACAATGGAAGCTGGTGCAATGGAGATTAGTGACAATGGAGGCTAGTGACAATGGGAGCTAGTGACAATGGGAGCTCGTGACAATGGAAGCTGGTGCAATGGAGACTAGTGACAACGGAGGTGAGTGACAATGGAGGCTAGTGACAATGGGAGCTAGTGATCCAAGAGTCAGGAACTTAATTCTTTCTCCAATTTCTACATTATATCATGTTACTCCTCTTTAAAATGCTTTTTAGGCCCTAGCTGGTTTTGCTCAGTGGATAGAGCTCTGGCCTGTGGACTGAAGGTCCCAAGTTCGATTCCAATCAAGGGCACGTACCTCTGTTGCAGGCTCCTCCCCAGCCTGGGCCCTGGTTGGGTGTGTGCAGGAGGCAACCAATTGATGCATTTCTCTCACATCAATATTTCTCTCTGTCTTTCCATCTCTTTTCCACTCTCTAAAATTCAATGGAAAAATATCCTTGGGTGAGGATTTAAAATAATAATAATAATAAAATGCTTTTTAGAATTATTAAGTTATATGTACCTAATTGTTATTATATAAAAGTATAATACCTCAGGTTATCAAGGAGACAGTTAATTTTTTTAAGTAGTTTAGAATAGCAATTCTTTTATTTAAGAGTGTTGTTTCACTTATAATATCAAATCAGCTTAACTTTTAATTTTAAAATTGTAAGGAAAAATGCAAGGAAGAAAATATAGGAAACTTATTCCTATTTATTTAAAATTCTAAGGTCATGAAAATTATCAATATGCATTTTTCCTTACTTCCAATTAGTGCCCCAGAAAAAGCTAGCAAATTATACTGCTATTAGCTACATGTGTAGTCATATAACTTATAGATGTAGAATTCTTATTGAAGCCTACTGCTGAGAGTTTTCTAGACCTGGGAATTGATTTTTCTGATCTGATGTTAGTAAAATAAAATTTTAAAGTTGAATCCACCAGAGAAAAAGTAGCCAGTATTTCTGAGAGTTAACACTACAGGGGCTCTGAAAACAGGCAGATCTAGTCAAGTGGTAATCTAATTTTAACAGAAAAGTTGGTCTCGTTAGAAAGTACCCAGAGTTCTGTAAAATGTCCAGATACCAGAATACATATTCATAATATCAAACCTTAATTTTATTGTATAAACAGGAGACTTTTTAAAGGAAAAGAACGTGCATGTCACAGGCTACAAATGTTTGGTGTTCAAATAAATAAATGCATACAGGAGTCTACAGCCCCCCAAAATAGGATAAGATTGAGAAAAACCCAGATTAAGAAAAAACTGTCCCCTCTCTTGGATTAGAGTGTGTAATGCATAGCAGACACGGCTGTGGGTAAAGGAGGCTATTCACAGTGGGTTAGAGGTCAGTTGGGGCTGCTTTCTGGGCAGGCTTTCTACATTCTGGTCCCAAAGGGCAATGGAGGAAGGTCCAATCCCAGAGCACAGGCCACACACACTGCTCCCAGATGCCTTCTCACTGACTGTACCAGCCTTTCTCTGGCCGTGAGAGGACATGGAAAGCGGAAGGTGGGCGGAGGACATCAGACCAATCCCCAAGGCCGAGTAGGCAGTACTGTCAGGAACCATCCATACCCGAAGCCAGCGATTTTCAACTGGTGTGCCACAAGAAATTTTAAAACATGCAATACTTGACTATTTAGTCACAGGCACTGACCTTTTCCCTTAGATTGTCAAATAAGAAATGACAATAGGCAACACAGCAATAGTTGTCTGGTGTGAATGAATAAAAATTATACTTTTT